TCTTATCCAAACTTCATTCCTTAACTATGAGTTTTATTTCTCCTTTTCACTTTCCTAAAAACGTTAGTAATGATGTTATCCAAAAAAAAAAAAAAAGGCTGGCAATGAACCATTAAAGAAAATCATGTCATTAATCACTTGGTTAAAATTATAACAGGTGAAATTAGTATCTTCACGGATAAATTAAAAAGAAACTGATGAAATTAGGATGATAGTGAAAGGCACTACCGAGTACTGACAAATTAGAAATTATATAAATTATTTGTTTAATTATTGGGAAATTGCAAATAAAAACCCCTGAATATGTAAAATTGTGATTTGAGATTCTGAATCTGGAAAAGAGATAAGGACCTGATCCCACTTTTATAAATATGAAATGTGGGTGAAATGTCTGAAATGCCCCCTCAATTAAATTGTGATTTGGTCTATTGAAGTTATCATTTATTAAAGTAAACTTATCATTTCTCATAGTCAATCGTCATTTGGCATATCTTCAGTCAAGTTGTGATTTGATCCGCTGAAATTGTCATTCGCTAAAGTGAACTTGTCATTGTTTCTAGAGGAAGAGGTATTTTAGACATTTCACCCACATCTCATATTTGCAAAAGTGGAACAAGGTCTTATTTGCTATTTTTCATATTTGGTCTCAAATCAGAATTTACATATTTAGGGGGTTTTATTTATAATTTTCCCTTAATTATTTCAGAATAAATAAAAAAATAGAGAGAATTCGCAATTTCATGGTTGGCCAGTTATTTGTGAGGTTATTAGGAAGAGGAGAAAGGTCCAATCCAAGATTCTGAGAAGACCGCAAGTGACCCGTCAGACAAGAACTTCTAGAATGCCTTCTCTCCAGCGACCTTTCCACACAGGCCCCCTTTTCACATCAATTTTAGCCTTTTTTTAATTCCCTTTTTTTTTTAAAAAAAAATATCATGTATTATTTTAATTAACTATTAGCACGGGTCAATGTAAAAGAGTTTCAAAGACCGCTTCTTCAACTTATCAGTATTTCTTTGATAACTATCAAGTAATATTACATGGCAGCTACGATCAGATTTGAATATTACCTCACATCATTGATATATGGATTATATATATAACTCCCACAACAATATTCCGGTAAAAAAAATTCTCAAAACAATATATATAATTTTTTGCTGAGCGCAGAACATTTACTGCTGTTATTAACTAATCTTCTCGCACCGTAGATTTTCTGAAATAGTTTTAATGTTGATACGAGACCTTTTCTATACATATTGACATGCAAGGATCGAACTCCTGATTAGATTTTTAAAAAAAATCTGACTAAGTACCAACAATATATTAATTTTTATTAAATTACCGTTATCCTTGTGATATTAGAGAGTTTCTGCGCTGTTAAGTGTGAATAGGCGAGAGGAGTTTTATCATAAAGCACAAAAGATTTTTTTTTTAAATGTGATTATAAGAGCATGCCAAAGAAGCTAAAAGTATAGATTAAACTGTGATTAATAACTTACATTGACAGATGACAGTGGGTGTGATTTCGTTTATAATTGTTTTCCTAGTGCAAATTAATTAGATGAAATCGATCATTTCATTCTGTAACAATTTGGGAAGATAATGAATTTGAAAAGAGAGAACATTTACTTGATTAAAACTATTACTTCACTTATTTATTTATTACTGTGACTTTAGCAGTTCATTTACTCGATGCTAAGATGAAGATCACTTAATGCTAATATCTTCAAATATTAAAAGAAGATATAGACTCAATTCAAACTGAAGAGATTCAAATCAAAACTCATATATATATATAATTATATATATAATATAACCAGAAAATCATGTCGAGAACTCTAGATAAAATCGTCTTTGACAAGTCATGTGAAATATAATTTATATTTAGCATCATTTTTTTTATTGTTTTAATCTCAAATAATGAGGTATGGATTCCTACTGCTGATAAAACGTAAAAAGGGAGGATATGGAATATTAAGAAAAAAAGTTATATTTATTGAAATTAAAATATTAAAGTTAAGAAAACTAGCTTGATTGGTTTACCCACTAGATCTTCGTAAGTTCTCTGCCTTCCGGATTTTCTTGTATGGTCAGACCGGATATGATATCCTTTTCGATTCTGCTAGTCAAACCGACCAGTCCAATCGATTCTCGTACTACCATAAAAAAGGGGCTATTTTCTTTTTATTCATTATTCTCTTTCTCTTTCACTTATTTGAAAATTATTTTTATGAATTTTTAAAAATCCAAACCCTTGAGTTTAATGAAATTTCCAAAATCCAGAAAATCATGTCTCGATAACTATTATTTTACCTTTCTTAATCATATTCAAAGGTTAACCAGAAGATGAGGGAGAAATACCCTTACACATATTGTGACCACACAACAATGACTTAAGAAAGGGAATAGCTACGTAACATAAGCAACTGGACATTCCACCCCAGCCAACCTTGGAGGAAGTTTCCCAACCTCCCATGCATATTCTTTTTTCAAAATTTTCCCCAAAACTTCCTCATTATGAAATTGCCAAGAAACCAGCTTCACAGAATTTAAAAAGGGAAAATTTCAGTTAAAGACCGTAGAAGAGAATTTATATCAATTAACTCCCAAAACATTCTGAAATATCACTGTAGGACCAAAGGATTAAATTGAAATTAAAATTTAGAGTAAGACTACAATAATACCCCTCCCTTTTATTTTATTAAAAAATAAATATTAATAGACGTCACTGTTCTGGCCACCGGAGGTTGGAGGTCCGGCCACCGGTGCTCAAGTGGCCGCCGCCGGGGGTTGGACCTCCGGTGGTTGTTACTGTAGCTCCGGTGGCCAGAAATTTTTTTTTATTTAAAACAAAGTGACCAAGGAAAGTTTGAACCCATGACCCTTTGGCACACTAAAAGTGTTGTAATCACCAAGCCAAGCATGCCATTCAATCACATAATGCAAATAAAAATATATATAACAAAACAAACGCAACTATCCAAATATAAGTGAATAGGTGAAATTCGACGATTTACAAGTGCAATTTAGCAATTTACAATGAAAATTAGACAATTTACAAAAACATAATGGAATTCATAACTCAAAATGCAAGTGTTTAAATGCAAATGAGCAAGTGAAATTGAAGATTTACAAAAAAAATTTATGGATTTACAACCCAAATTTGACAAACACAAGAGAATTTACAACCTAAAATGTAAGTGTTTGAATGTAAATAAACAAGTAAAATTCGATGATTTACAAGTGAAATTCAACAATTTATAACAAAAATTAGACAATTTACAAATAACATAATGGAACTCACAACCCCAAATGCAAGTGTTTAAGTGCAAATGAGCAAATGAAATTATCGAATTTCACTTGCAAATCTATAAACTTTTGTTGTAAATTTTCAAATTTTACTTGCTCATTTACACTTAAACACTTGCATTTGAGGTTGTGAGTTTCATTATGTTATTTGTAAATTGCCTAATTTTTATTGTAAATTGTCGAATTTCACTTGCAAATCCATAAACTTTTGTTGTAAATCTTCAAATTTCACTTGCTTATTTACACTTAAACACTTGCATTTGGGGTTGTGAGTTCCATTATGTTATTGTAAATTGCCTAATTTTTGTTGTAAATTGTTGAATTTCACTTGTAAATCGTCGAATTTTATTTGTTCACTTACACTCAAACACTTATATTTTGGTTGTGAATTCTCTTGTGTTTGTCAAATTGGGTTGTAAATCCATAAACTTTGTTGTAAATCTTCAAATTTCACTTGCTCATTTGCATTTAAACACTTGCATTTGGGGTTATGAATTCATTATTATTTGTAAATTGCTTAATTTTCGTTGTAAATCGTCAAATTTCACTTGTTCATTTATATTTGGATAGTTGCGTTTGTTTTGTTATATATATTTTTATTTGCATTATATGATTAAATGACTTGCTTAGCTTGGTGGTTACAACACTTTTAGTGTGCCAAGGGGTCATGGGTTCAAACCCTCCCTTGGCCACCTTGTTTTAAATAAAAAAAAAAAAATATTCCGGCTACCAGAGCTACAGTTATGGCCATAAGAGGTCCAACCCCCGGCGGCGGCCACCTGAGCGCCGGTGGCTTCCATTGGCGTCCATTAATATTTGTTTTTTAATAAAATAAAAAGGAAGGGTATTATTGTAATCTTACTCTAAATTTTAATTTCAATTTGATCTTTTGGTCTTGCAGTGATATTTCAGAATGTTTTAGGGGTTGATTGATATAAATTTTCTTCTGCGGTCCTTAACTGAAATTTTCCCATTTAAAAAAGCATATGAGATCTTTTAAAGTCAAACAAACGTGAAAGTATAGAAGAATGTCACAATCTATTTTTATATCTATTTATCTATTATTTTTCTTTGATTGCTCTGTCTCGGTGTATCCAATAAATTTATGACCATAAAATATTTCAAAAATGAAAAGGAGACCTCCAGGTTCCCAGAGGGAGCTGAAATAACAAAGAAAGAGGTGTGCAGAATAATGAGATCATGTGTATGAAGACAACTAGAAAAGGCTGGCTTACGTAACACTTGCAAAGTGTGAACATCCAAGAGAATTTGGGGTTTCAGTAATCAAAGTCAATATCATACGGCCGAGCCAATGCCCTTTTCCCATCCAATAAAATGAAACTTATCTCGTCAACAACGTATTTTTTGCTTTTTGTGCTCTCCTGCAATAATATTGTTGATATTGCCCATCTCCAGAAAATTTCCATCCCACCTTGAAAATGCTTGCCATGACCTGCCAGCTTTCTCATTTATCCTCTTCTCCTTCCCTTTGATATAATCATACAGCTACCAAACACTGGTAATTAACGCCTCTCTCTCTCTCTCTCTAGTCAAAAGCATATTAACGCCGTTTAAACTTTAAACCACTACATTAACAGATTGACTTGTATAATGCTGGGCCAAGTTTTATGCTTTATACCATTGGCCACTAGGAAGGAAAAGAAGGAAGTAATGGCATCACGTTTTAGGCTTCTCTATATAAAAGGCAAGGCTCTTTTGTTTGATAAAGCTATCAAATAAGCTTAACATTCACATACATAGGTAATTCATCTGTTAGAATAGCATGCCCTGCAAAACCTTCCTACTTGGCTGTTTCAAGGCCAAGAATATTAATAACCCAACCTCTGATCCAACTCTTGTCTCCAAAAAGCCACTCTCCAGGAGACTGTCCCTCTCTGATTTGAGCAATGTTTCTTCAATCTCTATCGTGAGTGATTTGTCCAACTCTGTTCTTGGACCAAATCTTCATATTTTCACCTACAAGGAGCTCCAAGAGATCACCAACAACTTCAGCAGCAGCAGTGTTCTTGGAGAAGGTGGGTTCGGCAAGGTGTATAAAGGCTTCATTGATGACAAGCTTAGGCCTGGGTTAAAACCTCAAGTTGTGGCAGTTAAGGCTTTAGACTTAGATGGGAAACAAGGCCATAGGGAGTGGTTGGTAAGCAGCTACATTATTTTTAACCTTTAGATAGAATGGGTAATTACAATGTATGGAAAATATTAAGTTAAAATCTCCAAGTGAATCTCATAATCAGAGCACTGGCTCTGTTTTCTTAACAGGGCGAGCTTTCTGCAATATGTTATACTATTATCATTACTGTCTAATTAAAGACGTGTTTTTCTAACCAAGTCATGAAATGAAATGAATAGGCGGAAGTAATATTTCTGGGGCAGTTGAAGCATCCCAATCTGGTGAACTTAATCGGGTATTGCTGTGAAGACAAAAACAGGCTACTGGTATACGAATACATGGAAAGGGGCAATTTAGAGGACAAGCTTTTCAAAGGTAATTAAATTCATAATTCTCTCGTTTTGAAATTGATGAAGCAGAGAATAGTCTTCTGAAGAGTGAGATGAAAAACAGTGTTTCTTCATCCTTGACAAATGCAGGCTATTTAGCAGCCTTGCCATGGTTAACAAGAATCAAAATAGCGATTGGGGCAGCAAAAGGTCTTGCTTTTCTTCACGAAGAAGAGAAACCAGTCATATACAGAGATGTTAAAGCCTCAAACATACTATTAGATGCCGTAAGTTCTTTCAGAGTCTCACTCAATATGACCACTATGTACCATTCAAGTCATCAGTAATGTATTCTACCTATCATAACTCAAACTGAGATATCCATTCGAATGATCAGGATTACAATGCTAAACTCTCTGATTTTGGGCTAGCAATAGACGGTCCAGACGAGGATCAAAGCCACATCACAACTCGAGTTATGGGTACCCACGGCTATGCTGCTCCTGAGTATATTATGACAGGTTATAATTGTTCCTTTCTTAAGCCAAACCCTTCTTGCATTTGCTAAAAACTAAGAAGGCATTAACTGAAGGATTCAAATTTTTGTCTCACCCAGGACATTTAACAACAATGAGCGATGTGTACAGCTATGGGGTGGTTCTTTTAGAGCTACTTACAGGAAAGAGATCTGTGGATAAGAATCGACCTCCGAGAGAGCAGGATTTAGTAGTATGGGCAAGGCCTCTTCTGAAAGATAACCAGAAACTAGAAAGGATAATGGATCCAAGACTGGAGGGTCAATACTCCAGTGAAGGAGCCAGAAAGGTGGCTGCTTTGGTTCACCGATGTCTGAGTCATCAGGCCAAGACTCGACCATCAATGCGCGCAGTGGTCAAGTCATTAGAGTCTATCATGAACCTCACCGACATTCCACAAGGCCACTTTGTATACGTCGTTCCTAACGAGGGTGAACTGGAAGGTTGGATACAAAGTAAAATTGAAAAAGGAGGCAAGACCGAGAACAGAGAGCAGAAGGTGGAGACGAAGGAGAAGGGCCGGCCGAGGAATAGGAAAAATCGAAGACGTAAACGACGGATTAGACCCCTCAGGTCTCGTGCCGTTTACACTGATACGACATTGTATAAATCTCTTGGTTCTAGCTTGTACAATCAAATTAGTGTGATAAATTGATATTTAATCTGCTTTTTTTTTTTGTTGCATAAGAAATAGATAGGCAATTAGGCATAGAATAGAATAGAATAGAATAGCAAGGTAGATAAGAAGAAAGCGATAATAGTGTACATTAAACGTTTGTTTGTTTGATTTCTGTGAATTGGTAATAATTTATGTAAAAATGGTTAATATAAACATATGTTATATTTTTTTAGTCATTGTTACTGACTTATAACTCAAGGTTAAAATTTTTTCATCTCTTATTTAACAAGATTCATCTTGGCTAAAATTAATTATTTGTCAAGGCACATTGAAAATGTAAATATTATGTTTATAAAACAACGTTAATTTTTTAATATTTACCAGCAGGATCAATGCAGCCTATATTAATTAACACATGTCGGTCATGGTTAATTTTGTTTCATATGCATGATTTAATTGGGCGATATTATTATTTTTCTTTTCACACTAGAACGATGTAAACAACTGACTTAATGTCATACACAACCTCAACTTTGAGGGCAAGTGTGTATTGGGTTTAATTTAACTGAATAACAATTTGTCAAGTCACCTAATAATTAATGGAGTTACATTTTTTTTGGGTTCGTATAAAAACTATTTACTTTGCTTATTATTATAAGCCATTTTACAGAGTACTGAAAGTAATCGATGCATTTATCCTGAAAATATTCCTAGATCCCATTTTTTTGGTTCATCCCTTAAAAGAACAACCGACTGTATCTAATAAAAAATATATTTAAAATGGTTAGAATGTTTTAAAGACATTAACTACTCATATTAGTCTGTATGATTTAGTTAAAAATTAATTCTTTATAATGAAGGGAGTATTACTCATTCATGTTTTTCTTTCCCAATACAATCATGCATGGATATTTAATTAATTAAAAATTTAGATTTTAATCTCATATCGGGGAGTCTATATTTTTTCAGAGTGGATGTGATGTCGCCATATTACAGGGACGTTAGCGGCCGTTCCCACCATGGCTTAGAGATGAAGAAATGAAACAAGGGCCACAAATTAAGAAGAACATTTAGTTAGAAAGTCACACAAAGTTGTGTTGGAAAAAAAATGGTTAATGAGCTAAATATACTGAACAAGACAGAAACGGGCCAAATCAGCCATTGACCTACGCCGTTGACTTGTGCCGTGAATTATCAAATAAAGAACACTTCGTGCGGAGGACAATAATGGAGAGAAGAAGATTCAAAATTGCAGCACTCGATTTCTTCTTCTTTACAGTTTTTAACTGTCACATGACTTTGCATTTGATTTCTTGGAATTATATTAGTTACCTTCCATTTGCGCGTGTGGATTAAACTAAGGAAAAAATACGTCAATTTAATTTTTTCTTATTGGGATTCACATTGTTGTCTCTTGACAAAAAAGAAAAAGAAAAGACTGAGAGGTTCACATTAATTGTTTCATTTTAGTTTAATCATCATTATTCACATCACAAGATGGGTTATTCAAGTTAAGGCTGCTAGAAGCTTGCTTGGCATATAAGTTTGTTTGAAACGTTTTGGTATATTGGAAAGATTTTTAATGAAATGAAATGAGCATTATATTAAGAAAAAATAACGTTTAATATGCTTGGAGGAAAAATAAAGAAAGAAGTATATTTTTAAGTGGTGTTTGGTATGATAGAAATAAAATATGAAGGTTGGAGGGAACTTCCATCACACCAAACAATCTGACCTTCGATTTTTATTCTATTATCCCCCCTTCCAACTGTTAACATTTTCCTGAACCCCACGTACCCTCAGAACTAACATGCAAAAGAAACAATAAAAAAGAAAACGAAGGGGAAAACTGGGAAATGAAAGCCATGAACTCTCTTCTTTTTTTCCCCCCAGAAATTTTAGTTTTGATAATTTATGTTTTTAGAGGCTAAAGAAGTGCTTAATTTGGCAGAGTGATGGCTAAGGGAGTCCCTCTCTCACACGCACATGTTGTTTTCATTATTCACCAAACCCAACCAAAGCCAACGAATAAAACAATGTGGGGTTAATGAAAATCACTTGTGGCGATGCTAATATCACTAAGTAAGAATCTTGGACAGCTGTTTTAATTAACTTGGTGAGATGTCACCGAACCAATCTACTTGAGCAGTGAATTGATTAATTACTTAATTAATCAAATCCTTTCCCATTTTTTCTGACTCTTTTTGGTGTTTCTTTACTGTGTTTATCATCATCAGCAATCCATGATGACTTGGTTTACTGCGCAAATGTCCAGTCCCTCTCGATGTGAGTGCGTCTGATAATCTAATTCAAGTGTATATATTTTCCTTTACTCCCACTAATTCATATTCATTATTTCACCACAATAACAAAAAAAAAATCCTATTAATTCAGCAATAATAAATGAATATTCGTTGGAATATGCCGGTGATCATTGAATCAAGAAATTATTATATAAGCACTACTAAATCGGGTATGTCAATAGATTTTAATCTTGTATTTTTTGTAATCTAATTGTTTTGGTCAATTATAATCACGTCATTTGCTTCTACTTTTGTGAATTACAGTCTTGTTTTATTAGCTAATGACTATTAATGTGTAGTAGGTAAGAATTGACTCTCACATAACAATCACCTTTATAAGAGCATGTGCTGGAATTTTGTCATTAATATGAGAATTTTCTTGATATTAATAATATTTAAATTTTTATTAACCAAAAAAACATATCCATGAATTTTTTTTATAAGTGATTTTTCATTTTAGAGATACAATTTTGCGTTCCTTGAAACAAAATCGTCTTGACGAATTGGCATCAATCTGTAACAAGGGTTTA